GTGGTCGATAATTGTTTTTTCTTGGGAATAAAATGCAGTCACATTAGATGCTTGCCATTTGGCTAAATATATTACCACTTGTTGCATCCAAGTTTGTCTCTGGATGACATTCATCCATACTAGCAAGCCTACCTAGCAAGTTGATGAGTTCAAACTATGAGAATGGAGAAGATAGGGGGAGTAGAGAAAATTGTGTCAAAATATTCAACAAAGCTATTGATCTCAAACTGGCAAAATATCCACTATCAGCCAAAAAAGTTCCTTCAAATTATTCCTCATTATACTTTTATTTATAGAGTCATGAGGGTAACAGAAAGGATTATACAGAGAAAAAAGTGAAAAATACAACTCTACATACTACCTTAAATATGTGTCTCCTCCTAATTGGCTGAAGGGAAGAGAGAGGTCGGAAGGCTTTGGTGAGTTGCTTCTGGGCGAGTCCCATTGCGTCGAGTAGATGAGGGCATATGTACTCAAGTGGGTATGTGGGTGAGCACTATGATGAAAGGGGACCAACGGCTGGCATGCTTGCTGATTTTGTCAGCAGCTTGTATGAGGGATCTCCACCAAGGAGAGAGGAGCAAGTGAGATGATATCGCACAAATGGAGAGCTCTGAGGTAGACTGAGGGTCCCATGACGAGGCGCTTTCCTATAACTTAGTCTGGTGAGGATAGTACCTCTATGTGAGAGAGAGTGCCTAAGGTTGCTTTGAGGGAGAGCATGTGAGTGAGGCAGTGGTCTAGGTATATGGCGAGTTTCGGGTTGAGGAATCCTCAATTCACCCTGTAGAGGGTGAGCTACTTAGGTCCTGGCAAGTAGCACTTGTTTATCAATCTGGACGAGTTTCCTGTAAGTTCTAAGCTAGTAGAACCTCTAGTTAGGCAAGTTTTGTCTATATGCCCCACTTCAAGATAAGTTCCTCCATAACTTGTCAGTTACCTATTAAATTCCTATGAAAGCATATGTGAGTATGCACCACTAGTGCATCATTATCAAAATAAATGAACTTCAAAGTTGTAAGCTACTTAAGTGGCACTTGGCGCAAGCAATAAATAAAAATGTCTTTGAGATTATATTAAATAATCCTGATGAGTTTTTTCTTATGGGGAATATGTAACTTCCATCATCAAACATGCAAGATACTCCAGTTGAAACCTTTGCGTATTGTGAAATGTGAACTACGAAGACATCATTTGAGGGAGTTTGGTCGTCTAACTCTGATATGAAGCATTAATTTAATTGAGTTGTTGATTATAGACTGATTGATTTAATTTAGACTTATTTTTATCTATTTTAGGGCTTTATTTTCAAGACATTTTCATCTTTGTAAGTCAATGTGAAAAAAAAGTAATATTTTTGATATGTTGAATTTACTCTCCTTACTTTAGATTCTACTGGAGGGAGGAGTGTTTCTTGCAATGAATGGAAAGATAAAGAAGTTACACATGTATTAGTAGGGGTGTCAATATTTGATCTAACATGTAACTTAGAATGGATCTTACTCAATAATTTTGGGTTTGGGTTGGCTTGTATCCCAATAAATTGTGACATGTTTAGGGATATGCCAAAACCTAAATATAACACATCTAATTAGGAGATATTTTCTTAATTCTATTTTATTTATTTCATAGGATAAAAACTTATCCCAAATATTATATTAATTGGAACTGGGGAAGAAGGAAAATTAAACATATATAAGCATATCACTATTTATAGATACAGAGGGAATATGACTAATGACCAATCAAATTCCATCTAGGGAGCTAGTCAATATTTAGAGAAAACTCATAGGCTGTACTTGAACTTTTGACCTCTATCCAATAAACTAAGGCGCATTCCACTTGAGCTACTGTTTTGTTTTTGTGACCTCTATCCAATAAACTGAGTATACCACTTAACCGTAACACTGTTTTGTTCCCTAGGGATTTGGGTTATCTTGAAGTACTCCAGCCTGCTGATTTCTTCCTTCAGCTTGAAGAGATATTTTAAGAGTAACTTGTACCTGCTTATTTGTTGATTTGATTGATCATTAACTGCCAGTCTGAATACACCAACAATTGAGTTGCCTTGAGCCCTACGGTGAGTTTCAGGCCAACAAGTAAGGCTTTATACTATACTTGATTATTTGTAAATATAAACTCAACATTGGCTTATTGAGTTAAGGTTATTCTAGTGGTTCTCCTTAGAATTATGCATACGCCAACCTCCTGTTTGCCGGAGACGTCTTTGACGTATAAAATCCAGTGTTCCTGTGGAGTTGCTTCAGTCTCATTGTTTAGGTCGCTGAAGTTGCGCAGAAAATTGGGGAGTGCTTGGGCCTTTGATGGCTATCCTTGGCGTTTAATTTATTTAGAACTCGTTTAGTTTGAACAACAATTTATGCTGTCTTCTTAAGTGATCTGGTTTTGTGAGTATAGTCTTCAGTGGGTGATCGATTATTACTTGGATGGAATGGGCCTGTAAGTGAGTTGCTTTCTTTCCTTGGCTGATTTGAGCGGCTTTATCTCTAGGATCACCTTTATCTTATCCGAATGTACTTTGATGAGTTCAGGTGTGAGGAGGAACCCCAGAAACTTTCTTAAATCTATACTAAAAGTACATTTTTGTGGGTTCAGTCATATATTATACCATTTGAGGATGACAAATGTGTCTTTGAGATCCTTAATGTATTGGTTGAGCGACTTGCTCTTTACTAGGAGGTCATCCATATACACCCCTATGTTTCTCCCTTCTAATTTTGGATGACTCTATCCATCATATTCCGATAGGCCGCCTCTGCATTATTTTTGCCAAAATGCACCACCTTGTAGCAGTATAAGTTTTCTAAAGTGATAAAAGCTATCTTCTCGCAATCACTTAGGTGCATTTAATCTAATAGTAGTTTGAGAATACATCTAGGATGCTCATAATAGAGTAACCAATTATTGAATTGACTAGGGCATTCATTATTGAGTGGGTAGCCGTCTTTTGGGCATGCCGAGTTCAAATTAGTGAAGTTTGCACACATCATCCATCTTTCAGTAGCTTTTTGTACCATGACCACATTGGAAATCCAGTTTGGGTTTAGACCTCTCTGGTAAAAGTAGCTTTTAATAGCTTATGGACTTTCTCCATTTTGGGCTTGGCGTGTATAGCAGCTATCTTCTAGTTTTTTTTCTTTAGGGGTTTGACATCTTTTTTCATGTAGAGCATGTGGCAGGCGACTTCTTCATCAACTCTTCGCATATCTGCTATCATCCAATTTATAACATCTAGGTCACCTCTGAGGGCCTAGATTAACTCACCTCGGTGCTTCTTGCTGAAGAATGCATTTATTCTCAGGGTTCTATTGGACCCTCGTTCAAGTCTTAACACTTTCTCAGTGGCATTTGTAGGATCTACATCTAGCTGCAACATTTCATCTAGGGAAGTCGCCACCTTCCCTCCCTACTACTTATAGGTAGCATATATGTGATTGATTGAGGTCACCTACCACCATTATTTCTCTCCCTTCAGTTGGGAATTTGATGGAAATGTGGTTAGTGGACACCTCAACTTAGAATTTATTCAATAAATTGTTATCGAAGATGGCATTATAATTCGTTGGAGTGTTGACTTTGATGAAGTCTGCCATTGTAGTATACTGGTGGTCACCCTTGCTTCAAGTGATGGGTATGGCGAGTACTCATATTTGCTTGCACTTGCTATTGCAGTAGGGGTGAGCAAACAATGGGTGAGTTCTTCGTGGAAGGGGAAAGTAGCGCGAGTGGGTTCTTCCACCTCGATGCAGGGGTCCTTGCGATGCTCCAGTGGTCTTGGTTGCAGGGTTCCCTAGGTTCTTCGTGAAAATGTTGATCCCTAGGCAAATTTGGTCTCCTGCCCCTTCTATCCATAGGATGAGTTCTTTCTCTTTGATATTGTCACACCCCATTTTGCCCTTCTTAGTCAACCTAAGGTGTAACAGAGACGGAAAATCAAGTTAGATATAATTTCCACCAACACCCATCCCGAATTACCATCATTAGGATTTAGTGAGGAGAAATTTAATCTGCCCATACTACCTAAAAAAAGAACTGCTAATTTCCAACTATTAGATTATACCTCATGTTTTTAAGTATTCAAAAACACACTTTATATTCATCAATAGAAAATACAGAGCTTTACAAAAAAAAAAAAAAAAAAAAACTTTGAATAAAAATTTATGTACCCAAAAATTTTTTTTTACAATTTACTGGTGGTCTTCCTAACCACACCAACAAATATTGTAGACCCAAAAGGCTATGCACAAAGTGTAGCTCAACTTCCTATCTAAAGCCTAGCTGCATCATAAATCAATTAGTGAGCTAATCCTCAGTGAAATAAACAATTTTATTACAAGATTCAACATAAATCAATTAGTTTGACCTAAGGAGAGTGAACTCTTCAGTAGGCCCGAGTGATTATTTCCTGTTGATAACTCTAGGCAAGTTCCAACCAAATAATGCGTCTTGTTTGATGAGTTCCATCTGTTGTCTCCCTTGAGGGCAAGTTTCTTTCTATAAATTGCTAATTATCTTTTAAATACCTGTGAAGGCACATGCGAGCATAAAAAAAAGATGTGACTAAGATTTTTTTTTTCTTTTTTGAGAAGGTTAAGTGTATAATCACAAATATTTATTGTTAGGAGTTAGTAAATGTGCTTTAACACGCATGTCTTGAAGATGGAAAAGTTGCCCTTGCAACCTTCTCTACTGCTTATCATAGACTTTCTCTTTTATGCCTTTGGATTTTAAATAAAGAAATATTTTTCTATTAAAATTTGGGAGAAGCCCATTTAAAAATGTAGTTTTTTTATTTACTTCCAATTTTTGCTTGGATTTTTATTTCTCATTTTTACTTGATATTATGTATATTATTTTATCTATATGATTTAGATGCACCATGACAATGCGATCATTTGGCTTGTAAATGTTGTTGTTCTTTGGAATTCTTAGAGAATATGGTTCAATTTTTCATTTATAAATTTGTTTGTTGTTTTCAGCATTTTGAAGACTTTATAGCTGGACATTTTCGCAATCATGGCCGGAAAATCCTTGTGGCATGCAAAGCGTACGCTCAAGGTGCTCAGGTCGGGTGTGTTGTAGGGAACGGTGTGCAAGATGTTGACCAGGGTGATAAGAGCAGTTCTTCCACCTTCAAGAACACTCTGAGCACTCTCTTTGAACAGCTGCTAGTGGAGTTTACTGTCAAGGGAGCAGATTGTGATATTTTTCTTGTTGAAAAGGTAAAAAATGGGGCTGCGGTTGCCAAAGGTGGAACAGCTGCATCTAGTAACGGGCATTACTGAAGCCACAGTTGCAACTGCGGATAAAACTTCAAGCTGGGTAAAATAATTTTTGCAGTGCTGGCATGCCTAATACCAGTTTAGATTAAGCTTGGGTTATTTAGTTGCTAACTTTATGCATTTTCATTTTCTGTAAATATGATATGTAAATATTACTATATTTGTGTTTTTAGTGGGCATCAGCATGGAGGATTGCAGGGTTGTCTATAGTTTCACAGGGTTGTAAGGGGATAAACTATTTAACTTCTGAGCAATTTGTGTGACGTTGACATGACAAATGAAATTATCATTGCAAGGCATTTCAGTTGCGGTTTCAAAGCTTTAATTTACTGCAGTGTGCAGTTCCGATCATTATTTTTTTCACAATGTGCTAGTTTTTATGACTGTACTTTCTTATTTTTTTAAAATTATTTTTTAGTATAAAAATTTTATATCTTGTATTAAAAAATTACTTTAAGAAACAATAAGAAAACCAACCCAAACAAAACCTGAATGTCTAATGTGGCTGCTTTCAACTATGGGAAAGTAAGCTGTGTACCTACATTTTTAAATTTTGTATCTTTTTGTTTTTTATTTCCTCTTTTGCATTTTTATTGGACTTACCTTCTGTATTAATAAATTTAGAATGTTCTTGATTTAATACTTGACTGGAAATTTTTCAATGTTTCATGTGATTTTGGTGGCTTGGCGTTTAAAAGATATCGCGGGAATTGCTTGCGGGAAATAATCTTGTGGTCAATCCTCGTAGTTATTTTAGGTGAATGTGAGAACTGATGTCTTAAAGGCCATTACAGGTAAATTAGCCCGAAGCTTTTCTTCTGAGATATATAATGGGTACGTGATAGATTGTCATAAATAGAATAAGCCAAAATTGTCATATTTCCCAAGAGGGGAATTTGCCCAAGAAGAATGCGATCCTGTAGTAGTTTGGCTGCGCTAGTTTGTAGATTCATGGCGACTCTTCCTTAGAAGGATTGAAGTATGAAGACTCATCTTAGTAGATTAAAACAAGGCATAATTGTCCTTAACAAAACTTGTCAGAAGACTTGTCTAGATTGATTTGGGCCCTCAAGATTTCTCACCTTGGTAGGGATTGCTTGCTTGCAGTAATTATACATTGTTTAAGCCACCTATCTATAGTTGATATCCCCAATCTAGTTACAAGAAGAAAACAACTCAAAAGCTCCAATCCATATCTTCCAGTCTAGTTCTTTATTAGTAGCCATTTTCATTCAAGAAAACTCATCCCTTAAAGCTTAGTCGTATCAATAACACCTTAATGGACTTGCCCCAATATTTAGGGGACTCAACTTTGTTAATTCCCCTTCTATGACATAATTTTAATGGTTAGCCCAAATCACTCGGCCTTGAAGACTCACTTAGGGGACTTGCATTAGAACAAAGAGTAACGTTAAAGGTAGAGATCCACGTGAAAATTTACCAACTAGGCTATGCGTTTGTTATAGACTATAACAATCATATCATATGTTATATTTTATATTTTGTTAGGAGTAGCCTTCCATGTAGCCCTCTTAAGCCATATAAATAAATGTTGAAGTGGTATATTTTTGATCCACTAGACCTTATATTATATGTTGTGAGACTAAAAGAGATTTTGGAGCTCTTTTCTCCTACTCTCCTTACTCAAATCTCATTAAGTTTTCCTGCTCTCACTTATACGTTATCTGTTAGATGTCATCCAAAAATAGCCAATCCAATGTCCTTTAATGTGAAAGAGTTAGAGCCCATAGTTACACAAGCTGCCTAACATAAGACTCACAAGGAGCTAATTTCGATATGTTCTCAAACTATAGCGACTACGGACATTGGTCGAATTTCTTGAACTCACTAAAAGCTAGGTTAATGTAAAGGAATACAATTGTTTGGTAAAGTATTCCTCAACCCCCTGCTTATAGAACTCATCATTAGGCATGAATGATATCATTGTAGAGGGCATGTTAGGAGTCACCAAAGGAGCCATTGAGCCAACAAAAGGCCTTATATGCTATAGAACCAACACCATCTAGACATAGAAGCCCTTACAAGTAAGTTTGCTGAGAATTATGGGGTTTCCTGCGGAGGAATTGTTGCAAACCACTCACTTGTATCACAAAGAAGGTATGCATTATGCACATTAATACCCCACCATCACTCCCCTATGCATGTCCATGGATAAACCCATGGATGATATAGTAAACAAAGAATTTTTGAAGTGCCCAACAACCATGAAGGCTAGTGCCTACATGAGTGATAACTCTAAATAATGTGCCTTTTACAAGGAGCATGAGCATGACATGACGAAGTGTGGGCAACTCCAAGACTAGTTGAAGACCTCCGCAAGGAGGGAAGTTGAAGGATTTCATGCTCGTTGACTCTAGTAGTTAAGGCCCACCAAGGGAGACAACTTCATATTGTTAAGAGAGTTGCTATGGGTTATTTGCATGTTTTACATTCTTGCAACTTGTATAGTTTTGATGATTCCAAATATTATTATTTTAAGTTTTGTTATCTCCTAACACTTTTTGGAAGATTTGTTTTTGCTCTTGTGTGGACTAACATTTCAGGAAATTCGAACTCCAGACTAATGACGACTTTAAATCAAATTCAGCATAAGATAATTTTTAAATTGAAGCTTGTACTTTTCTTTGCATTGAGTTTGAGAGGGAGTGATTGTAATTATGTAAACACACACACACTTAAGGAGATCTTTAAAAAAAAATTATACTGATCGTACGGGACGATCAAGTCAGTTAGCTACTCGGAATAGCAATGGAACGAACAAGAAGTGTAGAAAATTTTTCTAAGTCCTGATCGTCCAGGACGAATTTCCTATTCGTCCCAGTACGACATGGGCTTTGGAAAATTTTTGTTTAGAAGAAATTCATATTAGTTCCAAGATGAAATGCTATCTGGAAAATTTTCGTCCAGACGAACTCCAATTCGTCCTAGGATGAAATGTCCTCTAAATTTTTTTTTTTTCAGACGAAATCCATATTCGTGCCAGGACGAAATGCTCTCTGGAAACTTTTTGTCAAGACGAACTCTAATTCGTCCCAGGACGAAATGTCCTCTGTAAAATTTTGTCCAGACGAACTCATATTCATCCCAGGACGAAGTGAACCGACTCTTGAAAATTTGACGACTTCCTACAAATTTTGGAACCAACATATGGTATAACCGTTCGTACCAGACGAACCTTGTTCGTATGGGACAATTAACGTGTACGAAGTCAGTTCGTACCAATATACATTGGGTTTGTTTCCAACTGAATTAAGTAACATCGTACGGGACGATCCACGATCGTACGGGACGATCCATGATCGTACGGGACGATCCACGATCGTACGGGACGATCCACGATTGTACGGGATGATCCACGATCGTACGGGACGATCCACTGCTGACAGACTTTAATTTTAGCAGTTTTTGGATGATTTTTTGTGTCTTTCCTATATAAAGTCCAACATAAACTACCACTTAATATTTTTGCCTACTGATCATTGTGCCAATTTAAAGGAGAGTCAAGGAGAGAGTGTGAGAGAGTGTTTGAAGGAGAATTCTCACTATTGGAGCGTGAAGGTTTCACTTGGTACTCAAAGGTAAGAGTCTCTACTTTTGATTTTTTATTACTTCACTCTTTTCTCTCTTCCTTCTAGATTTCTTGTGAAGAAGATCTGTCAAATAGATTCAGTTCTCTGCCGACACTTGGAGAGTGTGAACAGCCGAAGGGTTCTCTGCCCACACTAGGAGATTTTGAAAGGACGAAGGGTTCTCTGCCCACTCTAGGACAGTGTGAAAGGACGAACGGTTCTCTGCCTACACCGGGAGAGTGTGAAAGGACAATCGGTTCTCTGCCAATACTGGAAAGAGTGTAAAAGGACGATGGTTCTCTGCCGTACCAGGTAGTGGTAGAAGAGAGTTTTGTAAAGGCTTCTTCGCCTTGCTGTGGGTGCAAAAGGAGAGTCACTAGTGGTATTTGTGTAATACTCGGAGGGTGCCTCCGGGGAGTGAATGTAGGTCGTGTTTGACCGAACCACTATAAATCTCGTGTCTTTTATTTTTTCGCTGCTTTTTATTTTGGTTACTGTTTCTAATTTATGGTTGAAAAAATTTTTCTATAAAATTCACTAAAGTTAATTTTCTCGTTTCTAAATTTTGAAGAGGGATAAAATTTTTTAATTACCAATTTACCCCCACTCTTAGTTAGCCACTGGGACATAAGCTTAGGTTTAACAACCTAATTCATATTGATCAAGTATCAACAAGTGGTATCAAAGCTTTGTTTCAAAATCATAAGTTTAAACTACTTTTTGATTAATATAGATGACTACATTTGGAAACTGAAATACACCTGAGGGTTACTCTATAACTAGACCTCCATTGTTCGACATCATTCCTTTTAATTTTTAGAAAACACGCATGTCTACATTTTTACAGTCTAGTTGATAGAGTTCGACAATATGATTATCGTATGTGGATCTTAGTTCAAGAAGGGTATACAAAACCAACTAGACTAGTTGATAGAGTTAGAGTTGAAACACATTTTGTGGAGTGGACAGTAGAAGAATATGACTTAGCACAACTAAACATCAAATGCTTGAATAGTTTTTTTTGTGCACTTAAATCAGAAGATTACATGCGGTTTTCACTTGCAAGAGTGGAAAGGATATATGCGATAGACTTTGTATAACATATGAGGGGACTAATGAGGTTAAGCAATCTAGACTTAATATCTTGTTGCATGATTATGAACTATTTTGCATGAAACCTAATGAATCCATTTCTGATATGTACACAAGATTTACATAAATAGTCACACCTCTTTACATGCATTAGATATGGAACTAACGAATGCTGAAATGGTTAATAAGATTCTTCGTTGTTTACCTACTGCTTATGATGCTAAAATTACTGCAATTATAAAGTCTAAAGATCTAAACATTAACTCTATTGACAATCTTCTTGGTTCACTAATTGCTTACGAACAAGAAGTTGGCCAAAGAAAGATTGATGAAGGTGAACCATGAAAGGAGAAGAATATATCACTGAAAGTGGAGGAGTCTGAGAGTGAACACTCACAACCTGAGGATGAAGAAGACATCGCACTGATGACTAGACAATTCAGAAGCTTTTTGAAGAGGAAGCAGAGGAGACGCCAGCATTGAAATAGAGGTAAATTCAATAAAAATGTCAAGGTTTCAAATGATGTGATTTGCTATGAGTGTAGGAAACCTTAACATATTAAGACAGATTGCCCGAAACTTAAAGCCACTCCTAGCAAGGTGAAGATAGAAGAGAAACCATTTGTGAAGAAGGGCAAGAAGA